ATAGCCCTTGTGCTTCCACGGCGACGGCAGGTAGTTGCCCCACATCGCGTAGGCGAGGAACACCACGGACAGGATCGGCATGATCCAGCCCGTCGCGCGGCGGGTCGATTCCAGCACCAGCAGGATCAGGATGCCGCCGATCACGAGATCGGTCTGGGTCGGCGAGACGTAGCGATCGAGGAAATCGTCCGAGTCGGCGAAGGACGTCCAGCTGCCGCCCGTCATCATGTACCAGATGACGACGATCACCAGTCCGGCCGCCGCGATGTCCCAGGGGGCGACCCTGTTGCGCCAGCTCTTCACCGCGGGGAACAGCAGGAAGACCAGCGAGAGCGCATAGGCGACGTGGATCTCGCGCAGCGACTGCGTGTCGACCGTCGAGGCCGCAGCATAGAGATGGAAGATGGTCATGGTGAAGGCGATGAAGGTGAGGAACCTGCCCCACCAGCCCACGAACCTGTGGATGCCGCCCTCTTCCTGCTCGACGAGCTCCTCGATCTTCCGCTTTTCCTCGTCGCTCAGCAGCTCGGCCTGAACCGTCATCTTTCCACCCCCAAAATGGAAACGGGGCCCTCCTGTGGAGGGCCCCGCCAGTCTTGCTGTCGTTACGACAGCTTGATGCCCTTCTCGGCGAAGTACTTCATCGCGCCGGGATGGAACGGGACCGACGAATTCGCGGTCTTCTGGTTCTCGGCCGTCATGTCGGTCGACGCCTTGTGCGTGGCGACCAGATCGGCATGGTTCTCCCACAGGGTCTTGGTGATCGTGTAGGCCTGATCGTCGCTCATGGTCGCCGGCACGACGAGGATGTTCCAGATGGCGATCACCGGCACGGCCGCTTCCTGGTTGGGATAGGCCTTGGCCGGAATCTGGCTGGCCGCGAACACCGGGCCGTACTTCTTGTTCAGCGCCGGCACCAGTTCAGCAGTCGAGATCAGCTTGATCTTGATGCCCTGCGTGGCCGCGAGATCGGTGATCGCCGCGACCGGCGGACCGCCGTTGAAGAAGTAGCCATCGAGCTTGCCGTCCTTCATGGCGTTCGTGCTCTCGGCCGGCGACAGGCGCTCGCGCTTGATGTCGCTGAGCTTGAGGCCGAGTTCGTCGATGATGCGCAGCGCCATGACCTCGGAGCCGCTCACGGGCGCGCTGGTCGAGATGCGCTTGCCCTTGATGTCCGACAGCTTGTTGATGCCCGTGCCATCCATGGTCACGAAGTGCACCAGGTTCGGATAGACCACGGCCAGGGTGCGCGATTCGACCGGCTTGCCGACGAACTTGTCGAGGCCCTTGATGGCGTCATAGGCAGTATCGCACTGGGTCAGCGCCATCTGCACCTTGCCGTCGCGGATCATGTGCATGTTGGCGACGGAGCCCGCGGTCGCCTCGGCGGTGACCGCCCAGCCCGGGACTTTCTTGCTCAGGATGTTCGCCATCGCGCCACCCAGCGGGTAGTAGACGGCGCCGGTGGTTCCCGTGGCGATCGAGAACTGGGCCTGGGCGGCGGCGGGCAACGAGCCCCCGACGAGGCCGAAAGCGCCGGCTGCCGAGCCGGCCACGACAAATTGACGTCGATTCATGATTGAAGCTCCCATTCTGGTTCGTTTACTCCCCGATCTGGCGCGGAAGAAACCACGACTGCAGCAGCTAGGCAACAACGCACAGGATGCGTTTCCAGCGCCCAAGCTCCGCGTGCCGGAACCGCCCACAATCTAGGCAGAGGGCGGGGAAGCAACGGCTCGGGGCACCGTGAATCGCAGGCGGCAGCGCAAGCCCGCCGGAGCAAAATCCATGTCCAGACGCGCGTCCAAATTACGGGCGCTGGCCTGCAGGAGCCGGGACCCAAAGCCGGTATTCGTGGGTGGGATGACGGGAGGTCCGCCCTCCTCCTCCCAGCGCATGTCGATATCGGCCGCGACCGGGTCGCTTCCGGTACCCCATCGGATCGACAGCCGGCCACCGGCGGTCGCCAGCGCTCCGTACTTGGCCGAATTCGCCGCC